TTTGTGTACATAGAAAAAGTCTTAGATCTTTGAGTTCAGCTCATGACAAATGGGGGCAAAAACAAAAGTGTTGCGTTTATAATTTTGTTCAGTGTATATACACTCCAGATATCTATAAAACTTGTGGAGCCGTCAGTGGTTTGAGAGTCCTGCTCTTCTTGAGAGTCCTAACTTCAATTTATGAAACATGATCTTCTAATAAACACACATCATTAGGAGAGGTCATGAGATTTTGATATTCATGAGAGGAAACCCCTAAGAAAGAAGACATCATGTGTGGGTTGTTATATGAGCGTGTTACAGGAGGTCTTCCTCCATACGAGACTGACTCATCTAAAACCACTTCTCTCCCCTCTTTAAATTTCTACATGACTATTAAAAACCACGGGATGTTAAGATGTTAAGGTTCAGATGTGAACATCTCACCAAGTGCGTTCATGTGACAGACAGTGTATGTTTCGTAATGGTTTCACAGTGAACCATGAATGGTGGCAATTCAGAGTTCATCTTACAGACATTCCTCTTTCAAATGGCCACTTTAGTGAGGACAAAAGCTCCCATCTTTAATCATTTACATTAACGCAAGCCAAACAGAGGCATGAATGGGCTCATTCAAACCTTCTGGCACACCAACTCAAACCTTTACCTTGTCCATCCTTGTTTTTGTCCCCGTGTGGGATTCGGTTGATGCTCAGGATGTACCCATCCTCAGTAACCACTTCAAATTCTTCAGCTGGGTAGCCCCAATGTCTGATGATCTCACTCTACAAGAGACAAACATATTGGTGAACACGGGCAAAGTCCATGAGAAGCATGACAGCATGGAGAAATCAATGGAAACAGACCTCCATGTAAGATAAAGGAAATTAAATAGAACAGCAAACACGTGCATTCTCTCTTTAGACAATACAACACTTAAAAATAGCACAAGCATTGTTCTATTGTGATGAAAGCAGTATAATGTCATTCATTTGAAGAAGAAATATAAGGCCTAAGTATTTTTTAAGAATAGCTACATTTCTTCTTTGTGACTAGTAAGTCAAATCTCAAATAACTGCCCTGATGACTTGTGTTCTACCCGCTTAAATGATAGAAGTACTTGTGCTGTCCAATCTATAAAGACTGTGTCTGTTCCCCGAATAGTGAGGTCAAAATATAAATTTAATGCAGGATCAAAAGCGCTGTACAAATAAACTTGACTTGACTTCTTTGCTAAGGTCTACAATGAATGTCATCAACGTGGCAGTATTTTTAAATGTAATGAAAATAGGAAACACCACTTCAGCTTAAATTCTTAGTTTAGTTTTTCTTTTCAAGAGCACAATTATTTAAGCTGTATGGTGACACACTGCTCCTCCTCCTCCTCCAGATATGAGATAAATTATAATCAGAGACTTCAAAGAAACTGTGTGAGCTTGTTGGTTCCAGGCCTGCCATGCAATCTCCCCATGCATAATTAAAGGCTCTGCAATTTCCCACTCCCACTGGGTCTTCTGTCTGCTCATTCTACTTTAGGCCACTTAAGGATAAACCCACTGCTGGCTCAACACACATTATGGGGAGGGTAAGCACTGGGGGATCTCTCTCTCTCTCTTGTATTCATCCTCTTTTCATGCAGAAATAGCGTGTGTTGGAAACAAGTAATATTTTGTGCACTTCTGCAGAATGAAAATACAAGAGGAAATAAGTCTGATGAAATGCAGAATGTGACCACTACTGAAAATATGGAGAACTTCATGGCCGCATTATAAAGAATTTAATTTTCCCTGTAATCAAGAACAAATATATCTGAGCTCCAAATCATTTGAAGTATATTTTTAGTATAGTAGTGTCATTTTTTTTTTTTTTTAGATTTATAATACTTTTGCCCATCCTAAATTAATGTGCAGAGAGAACTAAGCAATTCGTTGCTTTCAACATTTTTTTTAGCAGTCCAATATAGCAAAACAGACTCAACTAACGGATGTTTACATGCAAAAATGACACACTTCACTTAAAGTCGACATGTAATTATTATCATTATTTTTTTTTTCCAGAAAAACTTTTCTCTGATGCTGTATGTTGGACTTCTTCAATCATTCAGTCTGCTTAAACCCTGCCAGTTTCTTTCAATTGACTGCAAGCTTGCATTCAGATCTGCCTCCATCAATTCAACAACCAATGGATAGAACCAAGTCCCCGCCCCACATTTTTCCTTTTCTGATATTCTTTTTCACTAAGATATACATCACAATCCAAAGATCTGTTGTTACTTCGGTTACATTGTGACTTTGAAGGGAAAGTTCACCCCAAAATAAAATTTCTATAATTTTTTTACTCATCCTGAATGATCCTGTACATTTTTATGCTTTCTTTGTAACACAGAATTATTATTGTATGGCTATTGTACGGCTTCAGAAGAAGACTATGGAATATGGGTCAAATGGATCTTCTTTTTTTCCTTATGGATCTTGCCACTACAACTGTTGTTGTATGGAAAAGAACTGTGTGCAGAGTATTTAAATTCTCTTACCATGTTCCAATGAAATAATAATAATAACAGAATTCTCATTTTTGTGTAAACTATTATTTTAAGTAGTCCAAGTGACACATTTTTAAGGCTCAATAGGCTCTATTCTGCGTCTAAAACCCAGTTATTGTATTAAAACCAACAAACCACTGTCTTATCTGCGTTTCTGCAAATGGTTATTTGACCTGTACAAATTATCAAACAATGATTATGAGTTATCATTATTTAAACCAAGAAAACTTGTTTCGTATCTAACCACACATGAAAGTGCATCAATGTCACTTCAATTTCCTTTCAGAGTCTGTGGGTCTAAAAAGTCTAGAAAAATAGTTTTTATTTTATAAATTGCATCGTGCAAAAAGTGCAGGGTGCATGTAAATTAAAAACAAATAGACAAGAGCAAGCAGACGTTTCAGCACATTGCTATCTTCAGTGCTCACCAAAGGACAAAGTGCAAAATATATTTTGTTATAGAGATAGTCAACTAATGAATCCACTTCTCTCTAGAGCACGAGACAAAACGGAGAACTGGAAATAATATTACAAATGTAGTGCAAAGTTCACTACAGGAATAATATGACATGACATTCATGAGGTCAGCTAAAGCAGATAAAGCTAGCAAAATATATATAAAATAAATTTATGTAAGTCTGTTATGCTGTTATGAAAATATAATTGATTTACATTACAAGCTATCAGAATTATCAGAATTTTATCTTATTTTTTGTCATAAAAATAACATCTGCACCAAACTGCTTATTTTTTCTTAGCTTGGGTCTCTGAATAAAACTGATGTGTTTTATCCCCTATGAGTGTGAGCTCCACACTATATTACACCTCAGTAACTCTGCATTTCACAAAATGAACAGTATTGTCCACATAGCTGATATGAATTATGTTTATTGACTTCACGGCATGTCATTGCGATGAATGGCAAAAGTGACCCAATTTACCTGAATTTATTCAATATTTATGGTGTTTTTTCACTTATTGACAATTTTGCTGCACAGTAATGAAGAATACTCCTTGCAGCGTATTACATGTAAGTTGTAACTGGCTACTTACAATGTTCATATTTACTTCAGGGTCCAGTCGTGTCTTGTCCAGAACAGGCGGCCTGCACCGAACCAGCCCAGATGTAAGCAGTACCAGAGACAACACCAGCCTTGACATCTTTCTGTCAAACATTCACAAACAGTGAATTAACATACAGGGTCTCCCAAGACACACCCTAATCTACACCAGTGTTAGAAAGCTATGTTAATCTTTCTTCAGCAGCCATCAATATATTGTTTACTGTTGCTCAACATGTATCACGTGACTTTAAAGTAAGCGATACATAGCATGAAAATTCAAGGTCAATGTAGCTAAAACCATTATTTGTTCAGACAAAACAAGCTGCCAAAACAAACATTGCTGACCATCACTGTACTGTATTATATGAGAGCAGTTTGATTGGGAAACATGCAAAAACGTGTTTGGAAAGTGCTTACATTTTTAATTTTTTTTTCTGTTACCATAAATATTGTATAAGGTAGGCTATAGACAATATAATTTGTTTCTACTTTAATTAAGCACATTATAGTTTTAGCAGGGTTTAAATATTTAATTTTACAGCCCTGCGTTTTCACAAAGCAAAAGCAGTTTACGTAGCACATCTGAATGGTTTTGAATGACAGGTAGCCAAGCTTTTGAAATATAACGAACGAACGAAAGTCAGTCGGTGCAAACAAAACGTTTAAATCACTGTAAGTTAATTACGTAGTAGCTTCACACACTTCATCGTACTGTAAATTAATTCACTGCTAATTCTTTGAGTCGCCACTACGTAATTCCTAGCAGCACATAAATATATGTGAAAAAAATATGAACGTTTTAAGCTGATAGAGACTAATGGTCTGATGAACCGTGTTTATTAAATGGTCCTAAGCATTGAATAACGGGAAAAAAACGAGCTCAGTTAGTGAAACTCACCCAACTTCGGCTGAGCTCTCCATAGCAGCGTACTGAAATCAAAAGTGACTGATAGCGACGAAAATGCTTTAACAGCTGACAATGACATCATGACCCGACCACTGTTCTGGAGCGCCTTTAATCAATCAGACCCCCTTCCTGAAGAAGAATGATTCATTCATGTATTAGCTGCTTTCTTCCTAATTTAAGTCTCCTTCATTATTATTTAAATGTTTGTCAAACTGACGTCGTCATTAGGTTACTTAACATTTGTGTTTTTTTAGATAATGAGACTAAAAATATATATTTTATGCTTTGCAGAGATCACTTCAGCCAATTGTCTGCTATTAAATAATAAGAATTTTAAAAATGACATTTGAGTTTGAGTTTACATTTGAGTTCGTACTCTGCTTTTAATGTACAGGTAAAACTTATATATAATTTTGTATTATTATTATTATTAAGTTTGGATAAGTTGGGCACACACAACAGTTAAATATTGAAAAACCAAGGGAATGTTTTGGTTGGCCGACAAAAACCATTTCGGCATTTCATAATTCTTAAAGGGACAGGGTGCTAAAGCGCGTGAGCTCTTCAAACAAACAAGATCGCTTTGCTATTTTACATAAGCAACTGCTTATTTACCTTTTCTATAAAAAAAATGTCTCGAGTTCTAATAGTTGGTGCTGGACTTACAGGCAGTTTATGTGCCTGTCTTCTGCGGAGGGAGCTGCCAAACAAAGCTAATATAGTCGTATGGGACAAATCTCGGGGTGCAGGTTAGCATCTTAATTTGTTTTGACTCAGAATGTTTATTTTATATACTGATGTGAAACACTTTATTGAGTGGTGGATGTCTATCGCTTTTAATCATTGAATTAGTGGTATGTGCAACATATTGACAACTATCATTCATAATCACATGTCAAAATGCTTTTCTAAACTGGTGAACTGCTGATCTGTAAAGGAAGAAGGTCAAGGTGAGCAGAAAATAAGCAGAAATGATATGAGGTAACTACAGATTTATTATAAGAAAGTTTTCGACGTCAAATTCATAAATTCACTCTTCACCTGAAAGAACAGACTGAGCAAGTCCTGATTTTATTTCTATGCACGATAACCAACAAGTCCTTTGATTGACAGGACACGCCCACTTCAAATCTCATCAAATAACCCACTGATTAGAATGTGGATGATTAGTTGTTAATAAAACAAAATAGTTAACGCTGACCCATTCTAGCCAAATTGCAACACTTGTTTAAAATGTTCTCAATATGGGTAAAAACTACACAGAACAAATATGGTGGGAATACAGAATCACACAACAAGGCCGCTGCTGACTGACAATAACCATAAAAGGGTTTGTACACCAAAAATAAATAAATAATTCATTTGTTCGACCTCATGTCATTTCAAACCAATAAGACTTTAGTTTAATCTTCAAAACACTAATGAAGATATTTTAACGAAACCTTATTTCTGTTCATGCATTCAAAGTCAATTTCGCCAAACCTTTGATGCTTGAAAACTACATTGTAAAAGTATTCAATATTGAGCAGTATAATCATGTCATGTCACTTTATGAGGGAACATGTTTAAATTAGGCATTTCTTTACATTTAAACATTGATCAACATACATAGAGAACATCAAATGTGGTAAACAGAAGATCAAATGTTCTTATTTCATGTGAGAGAACAATCAATTATTTGACCTGTATATTGAAAAAAATAATAATTAGCGGTTTAAAAATAATCCCCAAAATACAAGCCTACACATTTTTTTTCCATAAGCATTTTTAAATATTATTCACACAAATTAACTTTATCATAGACAAAGTGTTAGTGGCTCTGAGGAGAACATACTGAAGTTTTTTTTTAAGCTCACTTGAAAGACTTTTATAAAGGTCAGAGCAACTGTTCCAAAACTCAACCATAAATATGATTTGAAAAAAAAAAAACATAAAAAAAAAATATTTTTGTCATCAGCAGCTTCCAAAAGCATGTTCAAGGAGAAAAAAAACAAGCAAACATAATATTATGATGCTATGAATATAACGTATCTGATATGACCACTTATTTATGATATGCACATTTGATTTTACAATATTTACAATAGTTTTTGCAAGTTTGTGCATTAGTAATATAATTACTGATGTTTATGTATTTACATTGATGCTAATGTTTTCATTCAGAAATCTCATTTAATCTCTAATGATTAAAAAGCCCTATTTTATATTTCCCATCGATTTGACCTAATGATATTTTGAATAGATGGTAAAGATATTTTGCATTTATGTTATAGGGGGGAGAATGTCCACAAGCAGAAGTCCAAATGATCCTTCATGCACGGTTGATCTTGGTGCTCAATACATAAGTGCGACACCGTACTACGCTCGTATTCACAGCAGGTGGGCTTCTTCTCTAATCTCTAATCATTTCTAATCACATTTTATGAGGTTAAAAGTTTAATTATGTGAAATTCATTTTTTGGATCTTGTAGTGACTAATGCTTTTTGATATTTTTAGTTTTTACGAAGAACTCTTAGCACAAGACATTTTAAAACCTCTTGTTGCTCCTGTTGAAGGCATGATGTTGAAGGAAGAAGGAATTGTGAACTATGTGACACCACATGGGGTCTCCTCCATCGTCAAACACTATCTCAAAGAGTCAGGTACGTCATTTGAGTTTAGGTTTAACTTCTTTCCTAAAAATTGACTTTTTTCTTCTGGTTTTGCTTTAAGTCATACTGATGATATACACTACCATTCAAAAGAATTCATAAGAGACATTTAAGCCTTGCAAACTGTTTCCATCAAAAATGCCAGGCAATTTATTATATCAAATGTCTAGATTTCATTTAAAACATGTATTAAAATAGCAAAAATAACATTCGCTGGAGCCTTTTCCATCAGGGCAATTTCACACAGATGCTTTTTATATATTTACACAATCAGAGAAGCAAGACAGATTTAATAACCGATTTTATCACTGTTCATAAAGCAGCTGTTTTTCATCAGCTGTTTAATGACAGAAATGTGCTGCCAGAAAATAAATTATTTTTGGGTCAGCAAGACCCAGAGTCATCCAGCTGTTGTTCCTTCTAAATGTTACCTTTCTAGAAATGCATCTGATTTCCTAGAGAGAGCGCAGAAGAATTTGGCCAGACTGTGCAATCTGATTTATGAACTCAGAGATCACAGTTCTTAGTCAATAATCTGACTGAGTCTTTGGAAACAGTTCAGGATGTTTTGATATTGTGCACGTGCTGGAACAAAGAACAAAAAGCAGCAGTCAGATGGAACTGCTTTAATATGTGCAGAAACACTGCGAAATGACAGTTATTTAAAGATCAGCAAAACAGTAAGGAAAACTGAATGTGAAAAGTGAATTATGTGTATATGCACTCTATTTATCACCATTGCCCTGATATTGATTTCATAAATTTCTGTTAACATTGTTCTGTCACCTTAAGCCTTTTGTGAAAAACGATGTGCTAATTCATACATTATACAAGATACATTTTTCATATACTGTAACTGTGGGATTGGGTTTATTTCCATCGTTGCTCTTGTATCTTCCATTGTCCTCATTTGTAAGTCGCTTTGGATAAAAGCATCTGCTAAATGACTGAATGTAATGAGAGATCATGTAGAAATATTTGCATGTGCTATAAACCAAATCTTGACTTCTCAGTGATACATAATCTGAACTTTCTTTCTGTGACTTTCTTTGGAATTCTTTCCTTCCCTCTTTTTCCTTTTCATCTCTTTTTTGCTGTGTGCAACATTGCCAACTGTGCCCCTCCGCACTCAAGCAGGAGCAGAGGTGCTCTATGACCGACACGTCACTCACATTCACCGGAAAGACGCTGGCTGGGAAGTGTGTCACAAAGGAGGAGCGCCAGAGCGGTTTGACATTGTGGTTTTAACCATGCCAGTACCCCAAATACTTCAGCTGCAAGGAGACGTGGAATCTTGTGAGTACATTTCCACACTGTCGCAAACACACATACACACACTTTGGCCTTAAAATTGAAATATGACCTTTGGTTTAGCTGTCTGTCATTGTTTCTTTGTCTTTTTTTTGTTTAAATTTTTTTATTGATTTTTACATAATATAACAACAATTTCAAAAACAAAACAAATTTTCTTGCCCTAACAGAGCTCTCCACCCGCACTGCGTCGTTATTATACATTATATTATGCACACTCAACTCTGAATCTGCTCTAAAATAAAAAATAAATAAAGGAGGGAAAGAAAGGGGAAAAAATGACAAACAGCGAATATTAAATTTGGATCCATTTGCTCTATGTATGTCAGCACTGGCTGCCAAATAGAGAAAAAAGTTTGACTACAGCCTTTGGTGGAGTACCGAATCTTCTCTAGTGCAAGATGATACATAAGATCCCTAATCCAGTGACTAAAAGTAGGTGGAGATTTGTCCTTCCACTTACGCAATATAAGACGTCTAGCTATTAAAGTTGAAAAAGAAATCATATTTTTTGTATTATTATCTAATGCTGGGTACACACCACAAGAAAATCAGTTTGGGCCGATTTCTCCCCTTCCGACAATCCTATGTCCCGATTGTCTTGGTGGTTCTAAAGATTATCTTATCAGATTTTCCTGTGGTGTGAGGTGTGTTAAGAGTGACTGAATCTGCTCGGAAGAACGTAGAATCTGCCCTGATCGCGAATCGTAAATATTCAACGTGTGAGGGGAACCCCGAAGACAAACGTGTGTACGATCTGGAGATTATCACGTGAAACTAAACAATATCCAATCAGAAAGCGAGCTGACAGAAGACGGAAGCATAACCAACGCAGTCATCGCAATTTCTTCCTGCCTATCGTCCGCCATGTTTATTCTCAAGTCTCGAGAGATTTTGCGAGATTTCCTGTGTTCACAGTCGGGACTCTGGTTGAAAATCTGTTGGTGTGTGGTGCGCTGTCTTTGTCACATCGCGGCACACCACACACTATAGGAGCAAAACTGTTAAATCTAGGATTTTTTGTCCTCATGTTTGTGATCTCTCACATTTTAAAAATCTTTTAGTGTGTACCCAGCATAAGCAGAGTTCTGTAGTTAAACCAAATATTGCAAGAATAGGAGAAGGATTAATAGATTAACAAGCTTAGAACAGGACCAAAACATGTGTGTATGATTAGCTATTTCAACTACACACCGATCATGTCTGCCATTGTTTCTGTTCAAAATATCCCTGTGAAGTCACATTTTATTATTTTATATAACTTTAGAAATAATCAGCTCATAGTAGAGCTTAATGGAAATTCCTAATAAAGAGATCATTTGAAAAAAAAAAGTAATTAATTAAAGAACACAAACAACTGTGCTATAGGGTCAAAGGTCATCTTCTGTGGCTTTCATATCTTAAATGCTTAAAAATGTTTAAAAGCTCTGTCATGACCCCACCATTGGTTTCCATGCAATTTGCCAAAAATCCACACTTTAAAAAAACAGCAAAGAGTCGGGTAAGAAAACAGAAAACCTTTAGTTCAGCTTGTAAAACACTAAAATATGAGATACATTGGAATGTATTAATTTAAAGACTCAGATTTTACACTAAATTTAATACACATCTTCTGAATCATCTAAGCAAAATTCACAGTTTCATTATAGTTGAGTTTCACAATTACTAGACTGCTGCAGCATTGAAAAGAAGTATGAGAAACCCATTTTAACCTCAAAAGGTTTTGAGAACAAGACATGACAAAAGGCAGAGAAAGTACAGAGCAATAAATAGGCAACTACTTACAAATAATGATACTATTTTATATACTTATACATGAGTATGCAAATAGTCCCTACAAGTAATGACAAAAAACATATATTTTTAATTTATTTTGTGTCTGTGAAGCAGATTTTGAACAAATAAATGTAGATGTAAATGTAAGTCAAATTTACCCCTAACACAATAGAAATAATACAATAGAAATAGGTGTAAGTTATTTACTACTACTGTTTTAACACAAATTTTTGGTGTTTTTCATAGTGGCGATTTCCAGCAAATTTCATGGAAACCAATAGGGTCAAACCCAACTCCAAAGTTGTACACAGTTCTTTAAAGGGGTCATATGATGCGATTTCAAGTTTTACTTTCTCTTTGGAGTGTTACAAGCTCTTGGTGCATAAAGAAGATCTGTAAAGTTGCAAAGACTAAAGACAGTTTTTTGAGATCGGAAGAGTACAAGGCTGGCTGTGCACAAAGGCTATTTCTAAA